AGGGAGCTATGTCCAGCATGTTTATCAGGGACTTGGGTGAAGACAGGGAAGCTACAGAGCTGAGCGTAGTGGCTGGTAGATAGGGTGACAGGATCAGGGTTCAAACAGGTCTCAACAGGCTTCTATTCTGGGCCAAAACCAACAAGAGGAAATTCAGTAGTGATGAATGTTAACTCTTGCGTTAAGTATAAATGGAAGAGAGCTGGCTCTCCCATCATTGTTTTGAAAAAGACATTATTTTGAAGAAGAAAAACAATTGCTTACCCTTATTGAGATATTCACCAACTGCATTCGATGAGATACTACCTGGAATTTATATGTGTTACTTTATTTAAATCCTACTTGGGTAAAGATTATCGGCTCCATTTCATTTAGAGTTTTGGAAAGTTTAAGAAACTTGGAATCAGCCGGGTGTGGTGGCTCACGCCTGTAATCCCAGCACTTTGGGAGGCTGAGGCAGGTGGATCACGAGGTCAAGAGATCGAGACCATCCTGGTCAACATGGTGAAACCCTGTCTCTACTAAAAATTCAAAAAAAAAAAAAAAAATTAGCTGGGCATGGTGGTGCGTGCTTGTAATCCCAGCTACTCGAGAGGCTGAGGCAGGAGAATTGCCTGAACCCAGGAGGCGGAGGTTGCGGTGAGCCGAGATCATGCCATTGCACTCCAGCCAGGGTAACGAGCGAAACTCCGTCTCAAAAATAAAAAAAAAAAAGAAAAAAGAAAAAAGGAAAAAAAAAAAGAAACTCGGAACCAAACAGAGTTAAAGTTTAACCATTATGCGATGCTGTCTCCAGAACAGATTCCATAAATGGGCTGACTGAAGAAGGAAGGAATCGAGGGAGGGAGAGAAGAAGGAAGCAGTTTTTGTCTAAAGAAACCTGTATCGTAGGTGCAATGTATAGTCTGTCTTTTTAGATTCAGGGTTGTATTCTGGACATGACATTTTAAGCTTAAAAATGTACAAATTTCGGTGTGTGCGGAGAAAGAATGTAGTTGCAAAGGATCTGGGAAAATAGAAGGAACTAGGAGGCTTTCAGAAAGCTTGAGAAGGACTCTTCTGCAGAGGAGGATCAAGACTCTGTCCACAGCTCTAGAGGGATGGAAGCTCCGGGGAAGCAGGTTCTGTTTCACTGCAAGGAGGAAGACGCAGTGGTCCAGGTGGCACTTCATTCTGCTCCAGTGGAGTCATTTCTGAATGTCTGTGTTATCATGCTGCTAGGATCAAAGGGAACAGAGCAGAACTGGGTGGAAATCTGGGATATTACTGTTATTTCTCTAGAGAAATGATGTTAAAAAGGCAGAAGGCCTGGCTGCTGGAGACGGCATTGGAGTTTCAAAGCAAAATCCAAACATCTTCCTGGCTGAGGAGAGGAGAAAAACTCAAGGACCCCTCTTGAAGTGCCATTTGCACTCTACTTTCTTCCAGGAAAAATGTCTTACCTATCCAATCTTCCCTATCTCAGAAATCAAATGCTTGCACTTATAACATGCCTATTTTAGTTATTTTAGAATCAAGGTGGTTCTTTTTTTTTTTTTTTTTTTTTTGGTAAGTTAAGGTAGAGAAGTTATGGAAAGAAACCTGATTCTAACTATGAACTGAACAGATGGGATAGTGGGAATAAAAACAAATTAAAACAGTATTGCAAAAACTCTCAACTTTCATTTAAAAATATATATGATGATGTTTTTCAACTTTTCACATTCAACCTTTCGGCATATCGAGTGACAAAATGAAAAATCAATTTCAGCTGTGTATATTTTAAACATTTACCTAAATGATTGGGACTTACTCAACCTAAAAGTCCAGATGAAAGTATTAAACTGCTTATTGTATTTTTTGTGAATTAAAACTTTATTTTTTTATTATGTCATAGACGGGACACAGTTATGTTTGGTGACGTTTAGTACAGAAAATTGAACTGAACAGTGGTCTAATTAGAACAGTAAATAGTATGGGTTTAATTAGCCCCTATTCCTGATGACAGATTTGATCCGTCACCAGATATTTATCCTTTCCTTTCACTTGACTGTTACTGAAATATTGCCTCTAGAAGGACTGCTTACTGTGCTATAAATAGGTAGCTTGGCAAGAAGCCATAAAGCCCGCTGACCGGTGAGACTTGAGAGAAAATTATTGGAAAACCCCCTCTTTGCTTCCAGCCATTATTTCTTCATTTCACTTTTGAAGGTCCTTTCCACAGATCCCTCTTTTAATTTAATTTAATTTTTTTTTTTTTTTTTTTTTTTTGGTTAGATGAGGTAACTTGCCTAAGGGCTTAAGGAAACCTGTGCAATATCTAGTTAAGTCACATGCTGCAGTTTATTAATGTGTCATGGTTTCTTTCATAAACTTTGCTGTTCTTCAGCTTCGAACTTACCTATTAAATTCTGTCTGACTTGCACTTTTCTATACACCAAGAATATGTGGTTTTTGTTTGTTTGCTTCCTTGTTTTTAATTAAGGTATGATATGGTTTATTAAGAAAACACTACAAAATGCAGAGAAACAACAACAAAATACATTAGTCACACAGATCCCTCACACTTAGAGGTAATGACTGTCACGTTTTAATTAACCTCTCATTCCTCTCCCTATGTGTGTACAAGGTTTACATGTATGAAAAAATATAGATTTAATATGATTATCTAATGATTGTCTCTTTCCCCACCCAATATTTTTAAAATAGAAATTTCAAAAACCATTACTATTTGAAAGTTCAAATAGTAATAAAACTGGCATTTAACAATTTATCATATTCTGGGTGGGGGGTGGCTAGGGAAAATAAAACATTCAGTTGACATTCATTTCCTGTCTGTTCCCAACAACATTCGTTCCTAGTCCTGCTTCCTCCATTAGGGGTAACTTGGTGTGTTTCTAGCCTGTATACCTCCAGCCCATACACGTGGGCTTTTACTGGTACGTCTTGCATATATGTTCTTATGCTTAGAGCTTTAGCTGTAGAAAAGGAATAGACAATGATATATGTGTTTTTATTTTAATGTATCAAACCTATCAGTCTTTTCCTTTATAGTTTCTACTTTTGCTGATAGATCTAGGATAGTCTTTCCTATACAACTATTGGTATAGATATATACCAAGATTAATGTGATGATTAATCTGTAGTATTGCTAATATTTTATGGTTTCAGTATTTTAATATAAATTTCTAATAGATCTGGAATTTATTTTGGCATATTCTATGAAGAAGTTATCTGTAATTTTTAAAAACACAAAACATGCCAGATGCAGTGGCTCACGCCTGTAATCCCAGCACTTTGGGACGCCAAGGCAGTTAGATCACAAGGTCAAGAGATTGAGAACATCCTGGCTAACACGATGAAACCCTGTCTCTATTAAAAATATAAAAAAATTAGCCAAGCTGGGACCTGTAGTCCCAGCTACTTGGGAGGCTGGGGCAGGAGAGTTGCTTGAACCCAGGAGGTAGAGGTTGCAGTGAGCTGAGATCACACCACTGTACTCCAGCTTGGGTGACAGAGTGAGACTCTATCTAAAAAAAAAAACAAAAAAAGAACAACAAAAAAAAAACACCCCACAGAACATTTGCCACATTGATTTGTGATACTATACCATGTCCTTATACTTGGTCTGTTTCTGGACTTTTTTTTTTTTTTTTTTTTTTTGATCTAATAGATCCAATTGTTCATTGCTATGCCAATTCTCTATTAATTGAGACAGTTTCCCTCTGATTTTACTTCTTTTACAGGTCTTTTAATTGCATTTAAAAATATATAACATGAGATCTACCCTTTTAATAAAATGAATCTCTAGAACTTCATAATTTTACATGGCTGAAACTTTATGCCCATTGAACAGTAACTCTTCATTTTCTCATCACTCCTGTCCCTGGCAAGCACTCCACTTTCTGCTTCAAGGAATTGGACTGTGTTAGATATGTCATATAAATGGAACCATGCAGTGTTTGTCTTTTGTGACTGGCTTGTTTCACATAGCCCAATATCCTCAAGATTCATCCGTATCATAGCCTGTGATAGGCTTTCCTTCTTTTTAGTGGCTCCATAATATTCCATTGTATGTATACCACATGTTGTTTACCCATTCATCTGATGATGGACATTTGGGTTGCTTCCATGTCTTGCTCCTCCCCCTCCTCCTCCCCCCCTCCCCTCCCCCCTCCCTCCCCCACCTCCTCCTCCTCCTCCTCTCTTCTTCTTTCTTCTTTCTTTCTTTCTTTCTTTTTTTTTTTTTTTGAGACAGAGTCTTGCTCTGTTGTCCAGGCTGGAGATCAGTGGCACAATCTCAGCTACAACCTCCACCTCCCGGGTTCAAGTGATTCTCCTACCTTAGCCTCCTGAGTAGCTGGGATTACAGATACATGCCATCATGCCCGGCTAATTTTTGTATTTTTAGTAGAGACAGTTAGGCTCAAGCTGGCTCCTTGCTATGTAAGTTAGAAAACAGAATAATTGATATTTAGTCAATTTATTTAAATTTAGGAATGATAAAATTTCAGATATAAAACTGAGCTTAAAAGCCATCTCAACAAAACCTTCTTAAGGTAGAAAGGTATGCGTGTGTCAACTGCTTTTCATCTAAACCTGTCATTTTTTTTAAATGCAGTTATTCCATAGCCAATAATTTTGGGGTATCATTGGGCTTTGTGAAGAGTTTAGAAAATGACTGGATTTGGGAGGTGGAGGTGGGTGGGTCACCTGAGGTCAGGAGTGTAACACCAGCCTGGCCAACATGGCAAAACCCCATCTTGACTAAAAATACAAAAATTAGGCAGGTGTGGTGGTGGCCGCCTGCCATCCCACCTACTCAGGAGACTGACGCAGAATTGCTTGAACCTGGGAGGTGGAGGTTGTAGTGAGCCAAGATCATGCCATTGCGCTCCTGGGCAATAAGAGGGAAACTCTGTCTCAAAACAGAACAAAGATGACTCTGGGAGCTTGAGTATATTTCTACCACATTTGTCTTATCATTTATTGTGGGTTTTTTTTTTTTTTTTTACATCTAGACCTCAAGAAACACTCATTCAGATGAAGACAAAGATGGCAACTGGGATGCTTGGGGCGACTGGAGTGACTGCTCCCGGACCTGCGGGGGAGGAGCGTCGTATTCTCTGCGGAGATGTTTGACTGGAAGGTCAGTGGTGGCCTCACTTGCTCCTGCATGTGGAATGTGTCAGTACCTCTGGGTGGGTGGAGAGGCGAGAGAACTTTACTTGGCTTTGGAATGTACTGTGATGATGGTGAAGCGTTTGCTTTTTCTAAATATTAGTCAACCTCAGGTTAACATATTGAAGGAGCAATGGTCCTGTTTTCGTGAATGTGGCCCTCTTGCTCACAGAACTCAGGAGCACCAGACACTTTGGGCTTTGAGGAAAGGAAATCCTGGCACCTTAAGTCACTGGTTTCAAGTTGTCAAGAGTTGGGGCAAGAGGTCAAGCCTTCTAATTTCTGCTCTTGGGTTGCTGCAACTTAATTCAGTTCTTGTTCGTCTACTCTGATCAGCCCATTGATTAAGAACATCATGCAAATTCTGTTTTCACAGTTTAGATATGTTTATATTAAATAACATTTGCCAAAATGTAAAATCAGCTTATTTTTTAAAACCTCTAAATTTGTATCAAGTCTGTGCTTATCTGTTTTTGAGACAATTTAAGGTAATTCTTTATGGGACTGTTTGCATCAGCTCTTAGGTAAGAGAGCCCCAGATTGATGGAATCTGACATGCTGGTCTTGTACAAAAGAAAATTCCAAGATTATGGCAGCCATCTTCAGATTTAGGATATTGTTAGGAAAAAGGTAAATTGACCTTTGCTAATTAGCTTCAAGATACAGAGTAGAAATGCAGGGAGAGCATAGTTTGGCTCAAGTTTGGATTTTATTGAGGTCACTGTTTTATGATACATTAAACAGTGACCAAATATGTCCTCCAGTTTCCTTGAGACAATACAGAGCAGGGCAGATGAGAGATTGTACATGTGGCCTTTGAGAAGAAAGACTCACTGGTCTACTCCAGGAAGGCATGAGAAGACTGCTGGAGGCACCATAGTAACATCCCCCCATGGTGAATTCTAACTCAGACATGGAAGCTTCAATAAAGCATTGTAGAACTGAATCCAGGGATTAGTCTTGCAAAGGCAAAGTGGTATGCCTGCTTCCCCATATTTTCACCTCGGTAAGGAGATACGGGCCCTGGCACTCTGTGTCATGCTGTGTGGAAGAATGATTGGGATATCATGTTGTATTCGGATATATTTATCCTGCCGAAGAGGCTGCAATAGGGAAGCTATATTCTGTGAGCAAGGGGAAGGGGCTTTTTTGTTGTTGTTAATAGAGTCTCGCTCTGTCGCCCAGGCTGGAGTGCAGTGGTGCGATCTTGGCTCACTGCAACCTCCACCTCCCAGGTTCAAGCAATTCTCCTGCCTCAGCCTCCCAAGTAGCTGGGATTACAGGTGCCTGCTGCCACGCCTGGCTAATTTTCATATTTTTAGTAGAGACAGGGTTTCACCATGTTGGCCAGGCTGGTCTCGAACTCCTGACCTAAATGATCCACTGGCTTCCCAAATTGCTGGGAATACAGGCCCAAGGGTAAGTTCTTTCCCACTGCTGGCCAGCCACGTGGATCACAGTGGGGGCTTCCCAACCTAGAAACAAGTGCGGAAGGAAGAACGTTGGCGTCTCTTTCTAACCTTCAGGTCTGAAGAGTATAAATAATTTGCAGTTAGTGGTAGGGATAGAGTGGGAAAGGAATGGGATTTATTTGCATTTTTTTATACGTACTTGCATTTGTTAAAAAGAATTTAGAGGAATATATTAAGGACCATGAATGACCACTTTTATACTATTGTCCTACAACTAGAATGTTCACATATTTACTTATTATTTGGTTCATTTTAAAATTTCCTTGATTTTGCTCGGAACATAATTTTGCCAAGTGATACGTCTTCAGAATGCTTGTGATTTTGTCTTCTCTTTCCCAACTGGCCCGTGCTGCTGATGGTAGAGGCTGCAGGTAGGGCAGGGCAGTTGCTGAACCTCTTCCATCTTTTCCACCCCTATTCAGAAGGGGAGACTTGGGCAAGAGGAAAGGAAAGGGAGGTGGGAGAGTTCTTAGTTGACTTTATTGTTGAGAGCAGGTATGATGCTCTCTGTTTGGCAAGTGTCTTCAGCTGGCTGTTGTAAGCACTTTGATGGATTTTCTGAGAAATGGCCTTTGCCCTCCCAAATTCCTTGGGATTTCTTGCCTCCAATTCCCTTGAAATGTGCTATTCACAACACTTTGTCTTGGTAATATTGCTCTTTCCTCAGCTCTGGACTGCTAGACATACCCCCAGCTTCTTCCTGTTTACATGTGCTAACCCCTCCGTGGCCACCCTGGCAAGTTCCTAAGACAAGCACATGCTGGCACTCATGCATGTGCCCACATCTGGTTCGCAGGAAACCCTCATAAGTTTGCTAAACAAACTCTTGAAGTTCAGGGACCCAGGGCTGCAACACCTACTCTGCTTACATGGGCTGCTGCAGCTGTTCTGTCAGCCCTTAAATTTCTCAGGTGTGAATTAAACACCAACCAACTGTAGATGACACATATTGAACGCTTCAAGTGGTGTCTTCACAATTTCTTCCTCTTGATTTGGGGTTAGCAGACTGAAGCACTCATCCCTTCTCCTTGATGGTGTAGAATGAGAGGGAGGCTCACAGCACACCTTTTTCAAGTGAAATCTTCAGAAGTTCTTCCCGTAAGTCTCTGGCTCCAGATCCTTTTAATTCCCTTGATGTGGGTAAGGAGTTTAACTGCAGTGAACTGAACTAACACATATCCTGCCTTCAAGGCTCTTACATCTAAGGAGACAAACAATAAACAAGTAAACAATCAAATGATTTATAATTAAAAATTGTGTCAAGGAGATGCGTAAAATGGTCAGGGATGCCCTCTGTGCTGGGGCATGTTTATGCTGAGAACTTACTGCTAAGAAGAAATTAATTACGTGATGGGAAGAGTTATGAGACCAAAAAAATTCAGATAGTAGGAGCAGCATATGTAAATGTCCTGGAGCAGGAAATGAAAACAGTCTTTTTTTAATTAATTAATTTTTTTTTTTTTGAGATGGAGTTTCGCTCTTGTTACCCAGGCTGGAGTGCAATGGCGCGATCTCGGCTCACCACAACCTCTGCCTCCTGGTCTCGGGCAACTCTCCTGCCTCAGCCTCCTAAGTAGCTGGGATTACAGGCATGCTGCCACCATGCCCAGCTAGTTTTTTTGTATTTTTAGTAGAGACGAGGTTTCACCATGTTGACCAGGATGGTCTCGATCTTTCGACCTCGTGATCCACCCGCGTCGGCCTCCCAAAGTGCTGGGATTACGGGCTTGAGCCACCGCGCCCTGGAGAACAATTAGATGAGAGTGAGCAGAATGGGCAGGCCCCTGCAGACAGACCCTTGGTGGGCACAGAGCCAGCCGGCATCCCATCCTGCACTAACACTGTGCAGAGAACAGTGGATCCTGCCCTGCCCTGAGCAACCACTCCTGCTTTTGGGGCACAGAGAAAGCACCCACACCTGCACCTGCCAGTGCCCTGCCCCCAAGCCAACACCACCTTCAGCATGACTGCACACACAGTCACCAATAGGGGCCTCCCACCCACCCATAGCTGCATTGCCTCCACCACTGTGGTGAATGCCTGCAGGGAGGCAGGCCCCCAAGTACCTGCTAGCACTCCGCCATAGCTGCCACTACTACTGCTGTTGCTGGTATGTGCAGATGAGGGTGAATCCCACTGTCATCATGCTATGAAATCTTTGGCTGACATCAGCCATCAGAGTCTAATGGCCAGCAGTCCAATAGCACCTTGGCCCCCCAGTGCAGTGAATTCCTAACATCAAGGAGCCATTGAACAAAGTTGGGGCCCAATACAAGTACCCCAGAGTTAGAACATCCAGTCCAGGTGCTGGGAGCCAAGCATTGGCTCCCTAAAATCTTTCAGAAATGAAAGCCAGTTGGCTGAATCCACCTTATACTAGAAGCAAACCCTCAAGGCCATCAAAAAAATAGGATAAAAGAAAAAAAAATATGTAAAAAGTCAGCAACTTCAAGGGTTAAAGGAAGATAAGCCCACAAAGATGAGAAAGAATTAGCACAAGAACCCTGACAACTCAAAAAGCTAGAATGCCTTCTTTCCAACAGATGACCACCTTGCCCTCAGATTACCATCTCCATTTAAAATTTTTCTGCCTCTCTCCATTTAAAATTTTTCCGCCTCTCTCCATTTTCCTGAAATTTTACCTCTGCGAATCTGGAAATTATACACATATCCTGTTTTTATTTTACTGATAATTAAATTTAAAGATCACACCTTAATAATTATTTTGTAACTATCTCTGCCAATAATAGTTTCTTTTGATTTATCCTATGTAAGATGTTGACTACTTAGGTTTTTTTTTTTCTTTATTCCAATTTCTTAGATTTATTGTAGAATTTGGGATTTTATCTTTAGTTTATTGGCAGTTTGTTTCTTTATACCTTTTCTTTCATACTAAAGCAAGGTTGAAATATCTGTACGCATTATTTCAGTGCTTATTATCTATCTTAATTGTTTGTGTGTGAACACATTATTTCAATGCTGATTGTCAGCTGTCTGCTGCTTTGAATCCCCATTTCTTCCTTTGAGCATTCTGTTCTTCATGTTGAATGATAGGTTCATTGGCAGAGATATATTTTGAGCTGTGCTTCTGGAATTTTAATGTGCATATGAATCACCTAGGGATCTTGTTAAAATATAAACTTTGATTCAGTAGATCTGGAGTGAGGCCCAAGACATTTCATTTCTAGCAGATTCCCAGGTGATGTCAGTGTAGCCTGTCCATGGACCACACTTCAAGCAGCAAAATTTTATAGACTTTTCAATTTCAGGAATAAGTTGTAGGTCTTATACTTTGTGAGTTCTTATATATCTGAAAATACCTTTTTCTTGCTTTCACACATAATCAGTGAATGGCTTATTCGACTAAAAAATTCCTAAGATACAATCTTTTCCTTTTAAGAATTGGTAGTTCCTTTTCCATAAAGCTTGGTTTACAGTATTGCTTATAGACCTCTCAGGCCAGTTGGTTCTTTTGTAGATAACCTAGTTTTTAGAT